CCTACACTTGCCAGGAGTTGCATGTTGCTTATGTCCCATTGTGTGAAAGTGACATACCTTATTCCATTTGTCTGTCAATTGCCAGGATTTGGTTTTGTTTTGGTGGCTTTGTTCTCCCCAGGTTCTAAACAGGAATACAGATTTATTCACTGTTTTCATCAGAAAATCGAAGATCTGGCTGAGCAAGACTAAGTCTTTTTATTCTCCATTAGACTAATGTTTGAAAATTGGAGCCTCAATGTTGGGTTTTGTCCTGACAGAACACATGACAGCCCCAGGGGTATAGGGTAGAGATAAGGAAAGAAATCCTAGAAGATGATGGAAGACTTCAAGTTACTCCTCCAGAAGTTAAGCTTACCCCATATGTTTGACCTCCTTTCTTTTTTTGTCCTGCTTTCAAACACTGGATCTCTTCTTATGCCATTGCAAAGCCAAGAACTCAAAATAGTTTCCAGCTTCCTGCTCTGTCAGGCAGCCATATCTGTCAATTTTAAGCTTACTTTAAGATCAGTCTTTGTTTCTGGGAAAAACTCAGTTTCACTCTTTAATGATATGGGTTTTTTTCCTTCTGTAGTGGAAAAATCTCAGTGAGCAGGACTGGTGTGGTATAAATATGGGTGTACGTCCCGTTAGCCATGGCTCAGGCAACTCCACAGTACAACACTGTTCGTGCCTGCTGGGGAGCCTTGGCTGCAATGGAAGAGAACTCAGCCCTATTCTGGTTACTAACTCTCAAGAAATGCCCAGGGTTTCTTCCAATATTCTACCTCCCTTCTGGAGTCTGAAGTCACACAATGAGACAGGAGGAGAGTTTTGTGAATTATGAGGATGCATCTCTCTTGCACTTAGCTCCAGGAAAGATATCACATCTATCACCACAAAACACAATGTCTGTCTTTCGTCCTAGAGATGCCAGGAGGATAGAATTGAACCAGTGGGAACCCACCATGTTCTTGAGGATGTGCAGGGTTCAGAATTGTATTACTCATGTCATGATACAAGGCAGCACGTGACCTCTTCTGTTTGAGGGCAAGGACCCTTCTCATAACAGACTGCTTGCCGGAGTGTCCTACACAAAGAGGGTGGGAAGGTTGTGGGCCAAAGCTCCTGAGCCTCCCTGTGCTGAGCAGGAGCTGGTGCGTGCTGTCCCTGCCAGTGCTGTTGCTTCCCTCTGGCTGTTAGAACTGGCAGCCAGGAGTGGTTTTCCTGCAGCCCTGTTAAATGAAGAAGAACGTGAGCCTCAAAAGGGTAAGAAATCCAAGTTC